GCATGTATTTTTCGGCATCCAAGAGCCGACCTTCAAGGAAGTCACATGTGAGGTGCTAGCAACAATTCACCTCCCAAAGCTCATATCGGAAAAGGACTATCTCAAAAGGGAAATCAAATTCCAAGCCTTTGAAGAGAAACATACCATTTCTCTTAGTCAGATTGAGCACTACTTAGACTTCGACGATATGGAGAGAGAACAACGGGAGGAGATTGGCCTTTGTGACCTTCCCCCTCACGTGAACAGACAGAATTTTTGGGAATCGATTAGTAGAGCGGGAAAGACTTATAAGCCCCGGGAGGCCCCAGCCACACTTCTTTACCCTCGGAAGTTCCGGGTCATTCACGCTCTGCTTGCTTCTACGGTGACCGGGAGGGCCGAGGTCGGGGCCAAAGTTTCTGCGACTGACCTGTTGTGCCTCTACTGCATGGTTCAAAACAAGAAGCCCTGCATGGGCTCCATCATTGCTAGCCTGTTCCATCGTCAGTCCACAAACCACATTCAGTCCCTTTTTTCTGGTCCGTACATTACACGTATTTTGCGCGGGATGGGATATGGAGACCGGTTCAGAGATATGGAGGTCTCTTCTAGTTTTTTTCCGCTCACTACACTCCCGTCCATGAATACGAGACTTGGGGCTAGACTTCAGCAAGAGGCTGACCAAACAGCAGCAGCAAGAGGAGGGCAGCAGGATGAAGATGATGATGATGATGATGATGATGATGATGAGAACGATGAGGAGATGGAGGAAGCAGCACACGACGTCCCATTTGATGCACCCCCTTATGGCCGCGCATTTCCAGATACTTGGGCGGGGGTGCAGGCGCATCAGGACGCTGTTTATCGTCAGCTTTCCAGAGAGCAACATGCGCGGTTTGATCAGCTGAGATTCGAGCAACGGGACTTTTACAGAGAGATGAGGGAGGATCAGACGATGCACTACGCACAGCTGCAGTCTCAGTACACGCAGATTAATGAGCACCTCCGTTCATTGGAGTATAGCTGACGTTCATTCTTTGATGGACACCCGCCGCCTCCCCCTCCTGAGCAGTAGAGTTTATTTTTTTAGATTCTGTTGGATGACTGAACACTCTCACACTCTCACATTTTTACACTTTACTCTCTATTATGTTGTGCTTTGTTGTTAAATGATGTGTTGCAGCTCAAACGAATGCTTGATGGATGACGTGCCGAGAATTCAAAGACTCAGTTTAGTTCCGGACCGACCCACGCTATAGGGAAGTTTCAATAACTCTTTTACTCGCTGTGTAATAATTAACTTGAGTTAAGTTGAGCACGCGTGACCCTATCCTCTTTACCCCTTTGTGCATAGTGCATAATTGGCCATTGATGTCGATGCCAAAGTTTAAGTGTGGGGGAGTGAATTGGGCATTCGGGCAGTAGTTGCTACATGAGATTATTAGAGTTACCATGTGCATGGGTTAGTTGTTTATTCATAGGAAATTCATGTCAAATTTTTGAAAATTTTTCTTTAAACTGTGTCTTTGTGAGTTGACTGGCGTTTTGACTATGCTTTTAGAACATCTTTGAAGTGTTTAGGCTTATATTGCTTGCACTATAATCTAGTTGTTGAGAGGATGAAGGCACTAGTCACCCATGGAATTAATTCATAAATCTTCCATCCCACCTGAAAAAGTCCTTTAGAAGAAGCCATTTTGAGCCTGATCGTTTATTGTTTACCCAATTAATTAAGCTCCATAGCCAAATGGCATGTGTTCCTTACCCGTGAATATTTCTAACTTAGCCTTGGCATTTAGGGGATTAGGGGATTAATTTGTTAAGTTTAGGGAATTTGTGTAGGAGCCATTTTGGCACTGCTCCAATGCCCCAAATGGGGTAAGAGCAGTCACGTTTTAGGAATTTGATACTTTCGAGGATTGCATTGTAGGCATTGGATTCACTTCTAAATTAATTGAACTTTAATTGCTAATTTTGTTCCTTGGTGAGGCCGAGATTAGAATGGGATAATGTCTAGTGAGAATCCGAAAGGTGAAAAATTAATATAGCTAGACCTCTTACCTTGCGAAAAAAAGAATGGGAGCCCCAGTCAAAAAACGTAAGTGTTTTGCACAATAAAATGAGACTTGGGTATCTTTCGAAAGAAATGGCGTTCTCGTGCCAACATGACAAGGAAAACTACACTTAATTAATGAACTTGAAGGCTATTGCAAAAATTAGCTTTAGTCCTCCGCGTACTTCAAGTATACGTCAAAGCACCAATGTGCCGCGGCGGTTTTAGCTTAGTTGTACATCATGTCTGCTCTTTGCATAGGTTTAGATGATTGTTTCTAAAATTGTGTCCTTCTGAGTTCCTTGATCCTAAGAATAGCCCTGAAGTTCTTGAATGCATCGAGTCTTTGTTAGAATATTCCAATCTATCAAAAGAAATGGACTGTCTTTTACCATTCACCATCACTTTCACAGGTCTTTCTGATCAATAATTAGTTTATTTGTGTTATGCTGTCATTACTTCGAGGATGTTGTGAGTAATTCGTCAAATAGTTTAGCTTGAGTACAAAGATGTAGTTTAGGGAAGAATTTTCTTGATTTAGATTGTCTGTTCTGTGAATATCCTTTTAACTACGTGTGCATGCTAACTGTTTTAAATTCCATGTGGTGATTATCGTAAGTCCCGTTGTTCGATTTGCTTGAGGACAAGCAAAAGCTTAAGTGTGGGAGAGTCTGATAAGTCCGTATTTAGACACGCATTTGATGCGTGTTCGGGTTGGATTTTGATGGTTTTCCTAGCTTTAAGGTGTTGCAAGTCTCAATTTTAGCTCAAGTTGCGATTATCAGGCGTTGGGTCGAGTTTCTTTGCATTTGGAGTTGAATTGAAGAAGTTAGAGTCCGGCAATCAGCGCTTGAGAGGCATTCAGAAAGGATTTGAAAGCATTCGAAGAAGATTTGAGAGATTTGGAGGTCATCGGGAGATTCACGACGAAATTCTGATGAAAAACGAGTATTTGGATTGACCTCGTATACATCCGGGAGCGTTTGGAACAAGAAAACGAAGAAAAAGTGAAGAATAAGGTCACGCACGGTCGTGCCCGGCGTTAGGCACGCCGTGCGTGCCTTGGAATGAAGCGGATGAGCTACTGGAACCCAGGCACGGTCGTATCTGGCAGTTAGGCACGCCGTGCCTGGACGCGTTTAAACGGGATTCTTCCGCAGGCACGATCTCAGGCACGATCGTGTCTGGCGCCGTGCCTGACCCCGTTTTGTCCTAATTCTACCCAAATTCCACCCTTTCCTTTAAATAGCACCCCCATAACCCTAATGAGGGGGATGGATAGGCCTGTCAATGGGTCATCGGGAGCAGACTCAAACCCGACCCGGATCCGTCTTTTTTTAATGGGTATGGGTCTACATTTAATTCCGTTACCCGGACCCGGATCCGGACCCGTTATTTAATGGGTCGGGTATGGTATATGTAGTTTCGACCCGTTTGGGACCCGACCCGTTAGTATTTATTTATTTATATATATACATTAGTCTAATATACATATTACATTAGCTACCGCCCACATTACGATGTAGTTTAATAAATCCGAAGAAGGATCCCTAAAGACCATAAAGTCCGCAGACCGCTGAGGATTCAAGAAAAAGCCTGTTCAGTTTCCAAAGCCATTAATTTTACTCTTTATTCTAACATTACGTATCTTGCAAATTATAAACCAACTCACAATTGTTGCGTTTGGTTGAGTAATTACAGACAAGTAATTACCGTTTATGTGTCATATTGTTGTCATAAAAGTACTCGGTAGTAAGAGGTCATGTTTTTTATTAAGAAATTAGAATTGGATTTTCGTGAGACGGGTCGGGTCTACCCGACCCGGTTCCGAGACCCAATGGGTATCGGTCCAGAACATTAGTTCTAGACCCGCCGGGTATATGGGTCGGGTCTGGAACCCTATAGAGGTTAACGGGTCCGGGTCTGGGATACTACGTTCTGGCCCGTACGCAACCCGTTGACAGGATGCTTCCGCAGGCACAGTCGCAGGCACGATCGTGTCTGGCGCCGTGCCTGACCTCGTTTTGTCCTAATTCTACCCAAATTCCACCTTTTCCTTTAAATAACACCCCCATAACTCTAATGAGGGGGATGGACTTTAGAGAGCTGATTAAGGACGAAAATTAGAGAGTTTCAGCCAGGTTTTTCAATTCCTTAACATTCTTTGTAAGTTCATACTTTTTTATTAATGACAATTAATTTTATTCTTCCCAATTCTATTGATTTTTCAATTATGAGTGGGGATTAGTTTTAATTAAGGATTTGGGGTTGATGAAGGGTTTTAACATGATGTATGTTTAGTTTCTTGATGGTTTGATTACATGAATGCCGTGCGTGACCTTATTCTTCACTTTTTCTTCGTTTTTTTGTTCCAAACGCTCCCGGATGTATACGAGTTCAATCCAAATACTCGTTCTTCTTCAGAATTTCGTCGTGAATCTCCCGATGACCTCCAAATCTCTCGAATCTTCTTCAAATGCCTTCAAATCCTTCCTGACGGCCTCTCAAGCGCTGATTGCCGGACTCTAACTTCTTCAATTCAACTCCAAATGCAAAGAAACTCGACCCAACGCCTTATAATCGCAACTTGAGCTAAAATTGAGATTTGCAACACCTTAAAGCTAGGAAAACCATCAAAATCCAACCCGAACACGCATCAAATGTGTGTCTAAATACAGACTTATCAGGGAAAAACCAAAAAAGAAAGTTTTCAAAGTTAAGTGACATTAGGGAGGTAGTATGTGTTTGCTCAATGAAAGGCTGCTCACAAAGGAAAATCAAGTCTCGTTTTCGTATTGTCCAACCTCTTCAAAATATTGAGTTTGCGTCATAATCAGTTGTATATCAGCGGGAAGAGCATAAAACAAATCCCATTAGCACGTGTGATGTAGAATGCTTGTGGACTAAAGCATTTATCAATAAACATAAGAAAGGAAAACAAGACTTAATAAGGGAGGACAGTAGATACCTTGATTTCGGAATGATCTGCAGCGACCGCATCTGAAGAGACACCATTGGGATCAGTGCTGGAACCGGATGTGATGGAGAGAGCTCGGATTACCTCAGAGGCGGTCTGAAGGCAACGAAGAAAGGGGGAAACGAAGACCCGGTGGATAGGAGGCCCAAGATCTTGGCGGAGCCTGCTTCCAACCGCGAATGCCCGGGCCTTGCCGTCCTTGTGGAGCGGAGGGTCCCAGGGCCGTTCCGCCTTTGTAACCCAAAGCGGATCAACGTTGTCGAGGCGGTCACCATGGCGCATCACGATGATATATTGGTAAAATTGCTCTCCATTCCCGCTGGGAAGTTCCATATCTGGCCGGGGATGATGCAATGTAGTGGTGGTACCACTGAAAGAGGGAGCCAGAATGTTGGAGGAAGGGAGGAATCAGTATGTTAGTTGAAATGTTTTCGCCACTAAAGTTATCAGTGGACCAAATCAAATTGTAGTACTCCCTCCGGACTCGAGAGTTAATTATCAAAATAGGACTAAAAGTCGTTCACTTTTCATAAATAGGACCAAAAAATAAATTATGTTTCATAGGACTAATTATGTGTAACTTGGACAATTATACTCTTATAGCTATTAAAATGTTTTAATTCCTAATAAAATAATAAAAAATAATAAAAATTCGTAAAAAATACTAAAAAATTAAGAAAAACATTTCGATATTAAAAATTTAATTAATTTTTTTTCAAAAAATTTAAAAAATTAAAAAAAAAACTCAAAAAAAAAATCGCCGCCGCCTCTGCCGCCTCAGCACCACCACCTCCGGTCACCGGGGGGAAAATGCCAAGTTCATTACGAATGCCATATTTATGGCAAAAAAATGAAAATGTTGGCATTCGAAAAGAGAAATATGCCACTTTTTTGGCATTTTCAGAAAAAAAAATGGCATTTTTCTGGGAAAATTGCATTTTTTTTCATCGACCGGAGGTGGTGGTGCTGGGAGGTAGTACAGGCGGTGGGAAAGGCATCCATATTTTTTTAAATTTTTTTTATGGAGTTTTACTATTTTTTATTAATTTTTTTAAAAATAAAATTATTTAAAAAAAAAGTTTTTGAATTTTTTATTTTATAAAAATTTTATAAATTTTTTAATTATATTTCTACGAATTTTTGAATTTTTTTAGAATTTGTTATGAATGAAACATTTAATTATGGCTTTTGACTATTTTTAATTCATATTTAATGGAAGGGTAAGAATGGAATGCAAAAATATATATGTTTCCAATAGGACTTATATGGTCCTATTTTGGAATAAAAACATAGCAAGTCCTATTTTAGGTTTTTGTCATAGTTTTAGTCCTATTTGAACTAATTTCTACTTTAATATTGGTACGGAATGAAGTGATGTGGTTTTTAAGAAAAGTAGAATTATGTGGTTGGTAATGAGTTGATAAGGTGGAAATAAAGTAAAAATGAATTAGAGTCACACAAATGTTACCAAATATGGTATGCGACAATAATAATTAATAAAGGGACATCCAAAAATGGAAAAATGGGATAATTATAGGAGGCCGGGGGAGTACTACTTATAGTTAATCTAAACATTTCATACTATCCAACTATCTATACTCCATTCCTCTCAAATTGAGTTGTAAAATTGACTTGTTTGGGTCAAATACTTTAGCATAATGTATTTAATAACTTAGTTAATTACTAAAGTAGTTAATAACTAAGAATGCCATGTCAATTTTAATAATTAGACTTCATAGCAATTTAAGTAAGATGCAGTTTCAATTGAGAGATGTTTAATGTGAGTGCTATATAGTTTAGCGTAATACTGATTCATAATTAATAAAAGTAGTTAATAGGTAAGAACAATAATTAACTACTTTTTCTACTTTAATTACACTAGTTAATAATTAACTACTGTTAATTAATTACATTAGTTAATTATTGTTCTTACCCGTTAACTACTTTTTCTACTTTAATTAACTACTTCAATAATTAACTACTTTGTTGTAGGAATTACAACAAAAATTAACTACTTTTTCTATATAATTAACTACTTTTTCTACTTTAATTTTCGATATATGTTTTCTATCATATACCGTGCTTTTAGGTATAAGAAGATAAATCACCTAACAATTTAGTGGGAAAAATTTATCTCTCATTTGTAGTTCTTTAATTTTAAGTAAAAGATAAGCTTGTTAATAGTTGAGAGAAAGAATTTGTGCTCTCATATATAGTGCTTTAGGTATTAAAAGATAGGTTTGCTAACAATCAAGCGGAGAAATCGGAGAGGGGAATTTTTCTCTCATATGTAGTGTTTTTAGAATTTTAGGTATTAGAACATAAGCTTCTTGACAATTGAGCGGAATAATTTTTTCTCTCAATTGAGTATCATAATATTCTCTCTTATTAATTTGTATTGCTTTTAGTTATAGGAAGCTAAGGAGATAAGTTTGCTAACAATTGAACAAGAGAGCTTTCTCTCTTGCTTTTTAATATAAGGTAAGATAAGCCGGTTAACAATTGAGCGGAAGAATTTGTTCTCTCATATGCAATGCTTTTAGGAATAAGATTTTATATATGAAAAAGATTAAGCCATGAGCTGTGTAACAATTAAGCGAGAGATTTCTCTCTCCCATAAGCAGTGTTGATGGATAGTGTACCCGGGGTAGCTTATCCGAAAGGTTATTACGACCAACAATTTAGAGAGAGGTCAGAACAAGTAAGAGAGAGAAGGAGTGTATATTCGATATATGAATTGTGTGTCGGTTACAAGGAAAAACGGTCGTTATTTATAGTAGTCATAAATGCTAGGCAGGGACACGTGTCAAACATCCAACGGCCGAGGGTCACCTCAATCGGGGTGGCAACGGCATTTGCATGTGCACCGCATTAAATTCGATGGTTAGACGTGACACCGCATTAAATGCGGTGGTTGACTGTCTCTAAAAGGAATCTTCGTTGAGTGTGCTGCATACCAAAGGCCTATGTGTGACCGCCAGCATCCTATGGCTGAAGACATCATGCGGTCGAAGGCATCATACAGCCGAAGGCTATATACAGTCGAGGGCATCGAATAGTCGAAGGCTAACGTTTTAGCCAGAAATTTTCAGAAGCTTTGCAGGTCCATTTCAAGTTGCCTCCTAGAATTTAGAGCCTTCGGCCATAGGGCTGAAGGCACCCGCATGTGCACCGTGGGTTTCTTCATGCTTGGGCCGCTACGTTTGGGCTTTGTGTGCTCATCGGGTTTGATGGGCCTGCGCAGGAGAAGTAGGAGTCTGTGGGCCGAGGTCCTTGGGCCATATACTCCATCAAGTGCTTTTAGGTATAAGATAGTTTAACTAACAATTGAGAAAAAGAATTTTCTCTATCATATATAGTTCTTTTAGGTATAAGACAAGCCGGTTAGTAATTGAGCGGAGAATTTTCTCTCATATGTAGTGCTTTTAGGTATAATAAAGTAAGCCGGTTAATGAGTGGAGATTTTTCTCTCTCATATGTAGTCTTTTTAGGTATAAGATTTTATGTATAAGAGATTAGGTCATAAGGTGGCTAACTATGGAGCGATTTTTTTTTTGATATTATATATAGTGCTTTTAGGTATAAGATAAGTCGTGTAACAATTGAGAGTAGGTCATAGTTATAGATTAATTCTTTACTTAATACGAGATGATTGATATTGTTGTTGAAAAATAGGAAGTTGTTTGATAAATTTTCAAAAAAAATGCAATATTGCTATCATATGAAACGTCACAAGAATTATGAATTTTAATATGTTTTGTTATAGTTAGAGTCAAAATGAAAAAGTTATAACACTTTGAATAAAAATAGATTTTCAAAAAAAGGATAATGGATAAAAATATGATTTATTGACATTTAGTGACTATAATAAAAAAAAACCATTATATAATACAAAAATGCTTATATGCTCATTTTTTATTTAAAGTTATGTGTTGTTAGGTGACCCTATTTTTGAATTTATCAATCTTATCAGTCAATTTTGATATCCAAAGCATAATTGTGTAATGATCAAAATAAGAAAGGTTGAAGTTATTTTTTGCCTGAATTGAATGAAGTTATTATAAACGAAAATTTTAGCTACTTTTTGAGACAAATGTTTATTTACTTTATCAATAAAATATACGAAGTATTTAAATTTAGTTTTCCCATAATTCAGTATATTCAGCCTGTTCAGCGGTTTCAGCAAGAATTTCATCAATTTCAATAGATTCATCCATTTTATGTGTTACCAAACAAGCTCTAAATGGCACTCTAAATGAAAAAGATGTTCAACATATGATAGTATTGTCAATGTAAAATAGATAAATGGTTTAAAAATGTCACGTGGTGTGATGAAGTTGCTCAAATGAGAGTCATACGAGATATTTGCAGTGAGAAATATAAAGTCATACAATTGGCGGGGCCCAAAATATACGAACCCCATTTTCTTCATCATAGCGTTATAACTTTTTAATTTTTGTTGTAATTTCTACAAAACATATATCAAAATTTCTAACTTTTTATGATTTTTCATATGAAAACAATATTGCATATAGAAATTTTAAAAAAAAAATCAGAAAGTGTATTAAGTAATCTGTTAATTTTCCAACCTCTATACGGGCTATTCCTTATTAATTAAAGAAATAATTCCCAATATATGACTAAAATAAGGATATTGACTAAAAGTATAACTTATTAATTTTTAGTTACTATAATTATGTTTAAAATTATATCAAATTCAGTATAAAAGTTCATAGACAAATTAGTTTTTTTTATTCACAAATATCTATATATTAGAGAGGTTCTTCCTTACAATTCCTTTGATACGGAGTATAAAACTAAAATATATTTTTTTTGCCGGAAAACGCTTATATTAAATTCAAAAATCAAACAACTAAACATCCTATATTCTGGCTACCCAAACATTTCCTCTAGACTCCTTATAGCTAATAGACAACCCCACTCTCTGATTAGACATAGAATAGACTGCCCAATAATGAGCAAGACTAATCGCTGACCATCTGAGAGTTTCAAAGCTATTATCGGCCAAAGTAGCCTAATTGCTTCCTCCCAAACTAAAAACTAAAGCCACAAAACAAAATTTTCTCTCTCATATGTAGTGTCTTTAGGTATTAGAAATTTAGAAGATAAGTTTGCTAACATTTAGTGACTATAATAATAAAAAAAAACTAGCCCTTATATAATACAAAAAAACTTATATGCTCATTTTTCATTTGAAATTATGTAGTACTTTTAGTTACAAGATAAGCTGACTAACAATTGATCGTGGGAATTTTATCCTCCATATATAGTGGTTTTAGGTAAAAGAAGATAAGTTTTCTAATAACTGAGCGGAAGAATTTTCTCTATAATATATAGTGTTTCTAGGTATGAGAAGATAACTTTGCTAACAATTGAGCAGAGAAATTGAGCGGTAAGAGTTTCTCACATATGTAGTACTTTTAGGTATTGAGCGGGAAAACTCT